CTGCACGGCTGGAAGCTTGTGCTCCTGGCGGCGCCCGCTTCCTGCCGTTGTGACGCGCGTATCTCGCATGGAGAACTTCGGAAATAAGTGATGGCTTGTGGTTTATTGCCAGTATACCACTTGGGTGCTGCTGTCGTATATAGACTGACTTTGTTGTCGCCTTAAAATAGAACTCAAATCTGGACCATGTTTTGCTAAACGAGCAGTATGTGGCTTGCAGATGTGGGCTGGTTTCTAGTAAGTGTGCGTTACTATTTATAGCACTGAAAACATGGGTGGTATTTTGGGAAAATAGGTTAGTTTTGTATAATGAAGTGTATGCAGAATTGTACAAAATACAGATTTGTACAAGTAACTGTCTGAATAATAGGGATACACTTGCACAGTTGTGCAGCATAGATTGTGTTTAATGAGTAAATCAGGTCGTGACCAAGTACAGCTTGGAGACCTGGAAGTTCTTGTGTTCCAATAGCCATCATGGGTATGGGCTTCCCCTAGTCTTAAAATAGTACGTTTCAACTTTCAAGTGATTCAGGTGTAATGTAATTATTAACTTTTATATGTGAAAGGAATATCTGTTGAAGAAGAGCTGTGAGGTGGTGTGCATTGCAAAACAAGGAGGAGGTACTTCTCAAAAAATGATGGTAATTCAACCCCAAAAGATTGGCAAGTTGATGGAATGAGGTCATAGATCAGGAAAGCTTTATGTATCTTGTAGTATCAAGAGGAAGCAATTTGGTACTGGAGGAGTAGAAACCTGTTCACAGGTATAACAGGTAACATAGGAAAAGGTCAAGATAGAAATAAAGTTATAAGAAGAAATTTGTGTGAAGGAAGGCGACTTTCCAGAAGATTAATGATTTTGTTTGAGTTACAGTTTCTGTGCATTTTCCTGAGTAGAATAATAGGTCATATATCAGGAGGAAAGCTGGGGGTACATTGATGTAGCTATTTAGCCATGGGTGAAAGCAGTACAGGGAAGTTGTGTGTGACTTTAAGGTGTTGTCTTAGGGAGGTTCTACCATCCTCAAGAGGGTGTGAAGATTGTCTTAGACTTGAGTATTTAGCACTCGCTTTCTGTGCTCCCTCTTTAACATCTAGGGGTGAGTGGAGGGCCTCGGCGAACTTGTCATTCCTTGTCATTCTGTGTGGTGGTGTTTTGAAAGAAACTAGTTACATTAACCTTTCGTTTAATGAAAGCATATAAATGGGAGAGCATTGTTCTTGTTTGCATTCAAGTTTTTGGAGGTTTTATTCTGTAGCATTCTTCCTTTGCCTCCTTAAATATGATTGCTTTCTTCTTCTGTCCTCCATCCAGAATTTTAACTGACATTCTGCTTTGATCAGATATTACATTAGTGAGAATTAAGGTGATATCCAGTTTTATAAATAGGTGAAAATCAAAATGCCTCTTGAGCGTTCCTTACCATTTTTTATTGCTAGGATTACAGGAAGGGTTTTTTATAATTCTGCCTGTTTATCTAAAACCTCAGCAGAATTTACATAGGTTGCAGACAGGCAGCTAAATTGGTGAAACTGCCATCACATGACTTTCTATATGCTTGAGGGTTTTCCTGTTAGTTGGTTGTATATTGCCCCTGCTTATAATTGATTTTCCTAATTAGTGCCTCTGCAGATTAGCCTTTCTTTCTCCCAGTTTATAGTCAAGAACCATCTTTGCTCATTTGGAGTGGCAAGCTTGTGGCAGCTCATCTGCACCTCGCTGGCAGTAGCTAGGTACAGACCAAGGCTGAGGATGGACATCTACTTTCTTTTCACTTCTCCTGAACCAAGATGAACACTAGATTGGGTGAGGTAATTATAATTTGGGATCAAGGAAGCAGACCAAGAGATGAAAATGAATGAAAGCAGAGCGAGAACACCGTAGTATTAGGTGAAAAGAAGCTATGTGGCAGGGAAAAAGATGGAGTAAGGAGATGAGGAGGGGAAATAAAATTGTAACAGTGAGTGACAAGGTAAAAGTTAAGCTTTGATTGCTCTTCCCTGTATAAACCACCAACTTTCCTTCTCAGAAGTCTGTTCTGACAAGGTTGAGAGTTTTGGTTGTCCTGTAGGTAGATATGGCCTCCAATAACTTCAGATAATATATGCAAGTGCTCAAAGTTGAGAAACAGTAGTTGCAGTACTAGTTTTCAAGTTTTCACGAACACATCTCTTTACGTGGCCCGTTACGTGCTTCCCGTATTCCTGGACAGGAGCAATAACCTTGAAATCCAGTGCTGTATCAGCTGTGCTGCTTGTGCAGTAGCGAAAGTTGAAATCACGTAACTGTGACAAGTGGCACATAATCAATTAGCTTAGAACCAAAATCTATATTTACCACTTAGTAAGAAGCGTGAAACCTTCAGAGGGTCTGTAGGCCATCATGTTTATGCCTAAAAACTCAGATTAATATTTGGATGTATTAAAGAGAACTCACCTTTTCAGATATTTCAGCTCCTCGAAATGCAAGCTTCTTAACCCCACACTAGAGTATGGTTTTAAATACACTTTTTTGTGACCTTCTGTTTGTATGTCTCAGTTGCCCTCATTCAAAACATTTTTTTGAGGTAGCCCTCACTGAGTAAAGAGAGACTTCAGGTAGTTTGTTAATGTGCTTAAAGGACTGCAATATCAAGAAGACTTCTGTATGTGCTGTACCTTAGGTAGATGTGCCATATACTCAAAACATTTCTTCCTGGTGGTTATGAAGATCTTGTTAATTAATGGAGCAAGATTCTTGTCTGTTCCTAGTCGTTACTCAGTTTTTATGCCTCTTGGAGGTATTTTTGCTATTAGAGATAAGATCTTTATTTAAAGATGCAAGTATAAAGACTACTTAAAAATAATTTATTCTTTTAGAGTGCTGCATCTATATGCTCTCATCTGTGAGATACTGGTTTAGCAATGCTTGGGTGTTTGGAAATTCTGGAATAGTAACACCCATTGGGACTGTTCAGGTTCCTTTTTGATAGTACCAGGTTTGGGAACTAAACTTGCGATAAAACTGCTACCTCTTTTATCCACTCTTTTCAAAAGAGTCTGGACATAACAACTTTGAGGTGGCAGATTGTAGAAGCTGTACTTCTAAATGTTACAATTATGAAATTGCTTTTCTTTTTGAAGTGTTTTTGCAGACTGCCTGTATAAGCTTAACTTGCAGTTTAGCCTTTAGGAGATAGAGCCAAGGAGTTCTGCCTACAGAAGTGTACAGAAATACTCTTCTAAGGAAGAAGAAAACCAAAGCCGTACAATACCAACTTGAAAAAGTAACTGTTGTGCAAAACAGTGTGGTAACTACTTAGGCTTCTGTGATGGAAATGAAAGCAGGAGTATCAAAACAAGCATTTTCAAATGTGTGCGCGAGCATGGGTGGTCTCTTCTGATGTAGAGTAGCCTAGGACACTGCCTTTCAGCTTGGTTAAATCTGAAGACCACTCAGTTTTTTCTGGTGCCTGTGGCTCACTCTGTAGTTAAGGTTTACAGCACAAAGCTTGCTTTTCTGAGTACTACTTGTGATCTTTGTTAGAGGTAGTTCATGTGCCACTTTCTCATAACTTCTTGCATTGCATTAAATGGTAATTGGGGGGAGGGGGGGCGAGGGGGAGCCCTTCTCAGGATGTACTCCGTGGTGATCATCAGATGCTAAAAGCTTAATAAGGGTGCCACCTCATTCTGCTGTGTGTTTCTTGGGTAGGATGTGATGTTGTGAGCTGAAGAACTGTCAGCCTTAAAGTGTTGAACGGAAGTTCCATATCTGAAATGTCCAGGGAATAGAGAAACAAGTTGTTTTGGAACATAAAGTAAGCCTAAGGGGAAACATAATGTAATACAAATATATTGTCTTGAGAAGTGAGCAGCATGGAACATGTTGTCCTTGCAGCTTTTTATGTAGGAGAATAATCCCAGTCACATATTTGACAGTGTTTTTAAAGGTTTTTTCTATCACAGTCCTCTCAACGAATGGAAGGTTTGGGGATCTGTTCCCCACATGCCTAGTTCTACTAAAATTTTGGTAACTTTTAAAACTGTGTGAATTTTACCTATTTAGGTGATGGCAACAATGATGTGAGTAAATGTTATATAACCGTTTATGCTTAGATGTATCCAAACTGAGGTGCAGAGAAGAGGTACAGTAAGATATTTCTAGTTTGAAATCCTTAGGTTTAAGTTCTCATGAAACCAGCCTTTTTTCAGAGGAGCCCAGTACAGTGTGCTCCCACTGAGCCCCGTTTGGTGTGTCGGAGTCCGCAATGGTAGTGCTTGCTCTGAGGGCTGGCACTGGCCCTGTACATGTGATCTGCCTGTTCTTGCCGCTGAGCTGACCCGCCGTATGGCCAGAATTTGCACAGATTGCTCAGATGAGCTCGCTCAGCCGCCGAAGGTGAGGTGCCGGTGAGCTGCTGCTGACTGCTCAGCAGGCCCTGGCAGCCTTCCTCCCTGCATCCGTGAGATGAGTTGAGCTCACGAAGCAGCAGGCCTGTGGCTCGGCGTTTTCCGGAGCAGGAGGGCTGCTCTGAGGGCCTGAAGGAGCCCTGGTTGAGGGGGGAGATGTTAAGGGTCTCGCGTGGCAGCGCGTACTGTCAGGCTGCTGCGCAATGTGTTTATGAAGCTGTAACACTGAGTTCAGGGGAGTTGTGTATTTTAGATAAACATCTTCTGAGACTATAAATAATAAGCCATTAGAAATTTGCATGGTCCCTTTCTATATGCATAGTGTTTTCAGAAGTGTTAGCTTCTGTGCAGGACTATATGACTTAATTTTTTTTAAGCCCTTCTGAACAGTGGGGTAATACAGTGGAAAATATTTTAAATTAGTAGTTTTTCCATTTGTAGTCTAATGCAGGGAAACTGTATAAGCTGTGCTAGACAAACTGTTCAATATGAAAATTCGTTTATCAATCTTGTCTTTTAATTGTGAAAGTGTCCCGACTGTACCTCACATTGTAGTTGGGCGAGAAGGATTTAGTTTCCTGCTCCTGAATGTGGGAACTGAAAAGTAGCTGGAGTTAGCAAGAGAGATCAGGGCAAAAGACCAGGAAACAGCAGTAGAGGGGTACAGGAAATACATACGGGTTAATGGAACATGTTTTTCCTACAATGTAAAATTAACGTAAAATCTAGCAACTAAGCATTGAAACCTATTGAGAAAACTTGTCCCTCAAAATAATAGATTGTTACGGACAACAGTAGCTTTCACTACTGTTGCTTATGTTGTTTTCGTCTGATTTATGTGGGGAATGACTGTGGTTATGTATGAGTTCACTGTCTTCGTTAAGGTGTTTTTCTTTCCCGGTTCCTCTTTGTTGTGCGTTTCCTGTAGCTTAAGCAGTTGCAGTGAAGCACTGAAAAGTTAGGAAATGTCATGTTATCTCTGTATCCTTAAGACAGCTTCTGTTTTCTGTTTAGAAGCGCTTCTGACTGTTGGAACCCCATTAGCCCACTTTCAAGGTGTGATCAAGATCCCACAAAACATGCCAGCCCTAAAATTATGCCATGAAACAATCCATTAACTTTGTTTGGCATTTAATTAAGCAGTTAATTTTGAGATTTTAGTTTATTAAAATACCTGACTATGAGAGATTCTACAGATGTGAGTGAAACTACTTTGCTTTGGTTCTGCAGTAAAAACAAAATAAAATTGCTTAGCATTATGGTTATAAGGGGAAATTCAGATTGTTAACCAATGATACAAATACATCTTTCAGTCCATAAAGTCTGAAACATGAATGTGTTTATGCCCTGAGTACATAGAGCCCAAATATAGGTAACCCATGTTAATTGTGCTTTACAGCTGCCATTTTTAGTGTAAGTGTACTCAGCTTCCCAGATGTGGTCCAGAGCAGAAACCACTGCTGGCTGAGCTGATAGGAACAGTTTTAAACAAAGAGTGAAAAGCGCTAGCTTTGCTCCTGAAGGAATCATCACAGTAGCCCTGCCAATAGTTGAGGAAGCAATGCTGATTTTGCTTCCTATTATACTGGCACAACTACATCTTGTCATCCCAGAAGCATTTCAGGCACAGCGAGTGCAAGGAATCCTGTGCTGTGCTGTGGCATCCATCTGCCTGAGCCGTACCGAGCCAGACCCAGCTCAGGGGGGTGCACAGCTCATGTTTGCTGAACCTTGAACACTGCCAATTCAGAACTGGAAGTTGGAGTCAACTTTTTGAACCTGTGTTCCTGTTCTGTACATGGCACAATATGTTTATGTGGATACTCAGTGTGAATATTATGAATGGGATCAAAGAGTATTAGTGAAACTTAGAGGAGTTTTGGGAAGAGGTTAAGAAATTTTATAAGTTACAATCAGTTGTTGCTCATTTAAAAGATGTTTTCAAAAATTCATGTGCCTGTGCATGCATGACTGATTTTTCTTCTTGTTTAATTCATATGGTTTTAATTTTTGTAATGCTTCACTAATTTCCTGCTTTACTAATAGTTTATAGTTTCATTTCCTTCCTTCCCCAGATGCCAGTACTGTCAGCTTCTTTACGTCCACCATCTACAGGGTCGATCAATGTGTGGCATATGCTGTGTGGCCAATTCTGACCCAAGTATGGGCATATTTCTTAGCCAGTGTATAAATAACAAGGCTGTATTAACTTGGGTCTCTTTCTTCTTCTAAAAGTAATGGAAATGCTTGTAAATCCATATATTTAACACACTTGCCTTTTGTCAAATTCAATTAAAATTGGTGGTGAGCTAGATTTAGTCCAATCACACCTTTTTTTTTTTTTTTTCCTTCTGGAAAGTTATTAAAATAGCTCAGTTCTTGGATTGGGAAGGAAACCCTCTCCATCACGGTGTGAACAGTGTAGTGTGTTGCTCTGCTGTGTGTTTGAGTTTCAGGTGCTGCATCAAAGGCTTTATATGTATTGTTCTTCCATCTCATGGCTTTCTACTTCCTCCTTCCTCTTCACAACCAGCAAAGTAGTTGGAACCTATTAAATCTTAAGCCTAAGTTAACAATTTCACATCATGTCTTTCTACCTCTGTCAAGGAGAACGGTGTTTGGTATTGAGGGACTTGATTAAAAAATTCCTGATAAAACAAATACCAGACTTTCTAGACTTTTGTTGGTAAGATATTGGTGAGAGAGAGGATGAGGAGATAAAAACCTGAAGAGAAACCAACCAACAACAACCTTCTCAACTGAGTGTGGCTGTGGTTCCCAGTCTGTTCGTCCTGGATGCTTGCAGCTCAGCTAGTACAGCAAGTGGTGTGAACTCCTGTGAAGTTGAGGGGGATGGTGGTGAAATGTTTTGGTGGGAGTAAGGAGCACTACACAGAGCGCTGCAAGTGAGAGAAAGTGCTGTGTGCATGTGGTTTCTCTAAAAACCAAAATGCCTTTTTAAAATCTCTTCTAATAGCTGTTACTTAGTAGAGGTTCTGAGAAGGTTCTTGGTTCCAGTATGCTAATGCTCTTGTAAATTGGTGAGGCAAATGAGATCAGAAGAATTCTATCTAGAAACACCTTAGTGATACTTTCAGAATTGTAGAGTTTTGACGTTTTGACAAGAGAATATACTTTTACTTTCACAGATTAAGCTGCCGCCAATGATGGAAATCATAACGGCTGAACAGCTGATGGAATACTTAGGTTAGTAACTACAATAAATGATTTTTCAATTATAGATTATACTTTTTAGTGAGTGGTAATGTAGGGGGCCCATTTTATTTATTTACTATTTTATTCAGCTTTTCTTGAACGCATGCTTCAAGAAGACTACTTATGGTATTCAGTTGCTCATGCTTTTTCTTAATTGCTTGTGGAGGTTTTCTGTACTGCTTTCCTAAGTGGAGTCTAGTGATGCAGTTGGTATGGCTTAGTACACCAGGGCATTGGTAGATTTAAACTTATTCATGTCTCTTAAAATGTTGTTTTGTTACAGTTGACAGGATGTAAGTCAACTGTGCCTTTAATTGTCTGTAGTAACTAATCCTTGGTAGTATGACCCAATTAAAATAACAGGAAAAATCAATTTAGTTGTCACAGCGATTGGGGGCTCATTTGCAGGCACTACTCTGTTATCAGATTCAGTGCTCAGCAAAACTGCAGCTGTTTCCATCTGACAGATCTGTAACTTTGGTAGCCCTGAACGATCCAGGTGTTGAAAGTTCAGTTGCAGTAGTACTTAAGCGATGTGTACCATGGTTCTTTCCCTTGGTAGCCTAGCAAATATAAAATGTTTGAGCTAGGTTTGATTCTTCTTAAGCAGGATGAAAAAATTTCTTCTAATTGTATTTGTGACAGAATACTACCTGAAGTAACTGCATAATCACAGTTGGCTAAACGTTTGTGTTCTTTCCTGGAGGCATATATTAGCTTCTGGAATTATCTTATTAAATTGATTAACGAAATTACCTGCTCAAATTATTTAGGTTCCTATTCAGTCAACAGTATTAGCAGTTGCCAAATGGTTCTTCTACAGCTTAAAAAAAAGAAAAAACCCTTCAACCACTTTGAACAGTCTTAACTTAGAAGGTGATAAATTAGGAAACCTGTAATGATATTTTTCTATGAGTAGAAACACACTTTGTAGGAATGGAGCAAGGGAATAAATATGAAAAGCATTGAAATAAAATCTCAAATTTGGGAGAGGCAGTTTATGGATACAAGTCACTAAAACAGTTATAAATCTTGAACTGCAGTGTGTTAACTGATTAATTACCTTTGTATTGTAGACACGGGTGGAATACAAACCTTTCAGAATTATTGGTGTATGGAAACATATGCCAAAATATTCATAGTATCAGTCAGGATAAGCAGTTGCATTTTTAAATTGTTATGCAATTACATATCTTTTTGTGACCAGTTTGACCTTTTTATACTTTTAAGTTGAGGCACAGAGGAAGGTAAATTTCTGAATAGTTAAGAGATTGGTGTGATACCCCAAGAGATTATGAAATGCTGCTTTAGTAACAACATCGGCTATTTGAATTTTATTCTTTAATTTGATCATACTGTATTTTTTATGCTCGTATTTTACTCCGTAATTGTAATTCAGGTTATAAAACAACCCAATCTCATACATTTGATAGAAAACTTCAGTGGTGGTATTTATGATCAGTCAGCTTCAATCAGAAGTGTTCATAGAAATGTTGAAGCCTTGAGCGTGCAATAAACTTAATTTTATTGTTGCTTTTTTTTAGGAGACTATATTCTTGATGCAAAACCTAAAGAGATATCTGAAATTCAGCGTCTAAATTATGAGCAGGTAAGGAGCTGCTCCTAAAATACAATGGCTTATGTCTGAAGGAGCTAAAACTTCTTTTCTCACCTAAGGCTTGTCATATTGTTAAAAACCAGAAGCATACAAATCATCATACTTAGTTTTTCCTTTTTTTTCTAGGCTTGATGTAGAGTATTATTGATAAATACTTGCTATTGGTGAAGGAAGACTTGGTATCTATTACAAACATGGTGGTTTTTTTTCTGTTTTCAATGAGTGTAATGAGAGAATTTTGTTTTTATTGAGGAATTATGACACAGAAGTACAGATCAAGTGTATAATAGAGTGGTTGCTCTTTGAAGTCTTTTATTAAGCATCCTTCAGTGTGCTGTGTTCTGTGATGCCTGCTAGACTTTCTCTGAGGATGTAAACTAAGCAAGAACGAGGTCTCTGTTCTGAAGTCATGATGGACAAAAAGAGGTTGATTCCATATTGTGAAAGGCAATGTTATTTGCACTGATCAGTGTTTTTATGTCATCACAGAACTGTCTATGTTAAAGATAGTGCTGTTAGTTTAGAAAAATATTGATGTAGTTTATGTTGTCTTGGAGTAGATCTTTCAAGCTCTGTCTGTGGTTACAGCTGGTTTTGATTACTCGTGGAAAAGTGATTCAAATTTATTATAGGAGTAAGGTTTCAAGCTAGTTCTATTCATTATGAGGTTGTTTTTTCTTGCTCTCATTCAGTGTTGAAAACCAAATCGATTTTCTTGGGATAGTTGAAATTAGAATCAAGACTGAATGTGGATTCTTTTAATAATAATCCAAAAAGACTTGTATGAAATTATATGAATTATTTTTGTAATAACAATCAGCTATATTTTTTCCACACAATTCTGTACTATAGAAGATTTTTGGTATAATCAGTTTATAGCAGGGTGATGGAAACTGTATACGTGGTTAAAAGTACAATCTCTGTGATTTTCCTGTGCTCAGACATAGGGGTTTACTATGTAGATGTCACAAACATTTTCCTTAAATATTTAACTGTACAATTTTAGATAACCTTTCTGTTCTAGGAGTGTTCTAAATGTAGATGTATGAGTGGTATCACGTGAGGGGGGGAAAAAGAAACTAATTAGGCAACTGGGTCTAAAAAAAATCAGTACATTTCAGAAGCATTGGAACTAAGTCTTGGTGTTAATCATAATTTTGTTTATCTTGTCACACAGTTAATATTCTTTGGCTAAAACAATGTATTTTCTTACACAAGAATGCAAGTAAATGTTTCGGACAGTTGGATTTGTAATGCTTGATTTTAGTATAATTTCAACATCATGACAAGACATTTATTTCAGCTGTGACACTTTTTTTTACTGTACTTGAGGCATTTAATTAAGTACTTGAATGAAAGCTGGATTAAAGAAAAAAGCACAAGTTCTAATGCACAACTTAAGAAGAGGTTGCCCAGGGAGATTATGGATCCTCCATTCTTGGAGATACTCAAAAGCCATGTGGACATGGCCTTGGGCAGTGGACTCTAGATGGCCCTGCTTGAGAAGGGGGGGTGGACCAGATGACTTCCAGAGGTCCCTTCTAAGCTCAGCAGTTCTGTGTATTTATATCCTTACTTATTTGCATTCATTTTCTTAGAAGCTTGTTGCTTTGAAGGTGTGGAAATAGCGGAAATAGAAATGATACTGTTCAAATTGTAGTGAGAAACTTCTGCAGCTTTCTGGGTGGTTTGATGTATTCCTGCTTTATTTACAAAGTAAACATTACAAAATAAAGGCAACTAAAGACTGTAGATGTATGATCTGAATGTGCCAATGGCTAGTGCTGGATTGCTATAGACTTTCTTCCTATTCATTTAGCAGAGTACGAGTACAGCATTATTTCTGCCAAGGCACCTCAGATAAGTTTTTATGATTTGATATCTGGACCCTACTAATGAAATGCACTTTTGAAGTCAGGTGGTTTGGTTTGTTATTATAATGATTAAAACTTTTAAAAAAATTTTAAAAGTCTGAGCTGGATCTTGAGTTACTTAAAAATCTTGCTAAATTCTCAATCTTGTGACATAGCAAAATTGTCAAAAGGATGAAGCAACATGTAGTGAAATAGTGGGAGCTGTTACCTTCCTGGTAATAGGAACTTTACATGACGGTGCAGTTACAGGGCTATAAGCTGTGAAACTCTCATTCACAGCAACCACTCTAAAGTGCAGATACTGGGTAATGATAGTTTATCAGCTTTTCTGTGTAAGTTTCAACTCTTGTGAGAGCTTCCCAGGTTTAAATCTGCTTAGTAATAAGGAAGTATGTCTGTTTATAAACTTTGGGACTTTTCAGAAGTTGCATCTAAACTGAAATTAGTCAGAGCAGGAACAAGCTTATTGTTCTACTGTCATTTTATTAAGAGAAAAAGTACATTTAAACTTGCATACCAGTAAGAGAAGAAGCTTAATTACTTTGGCTGAAGTGCTGAGGTTGGTGAACATAAAATTTTTGCTATATGCCTTAATGAAACCATGCTGTTGCATGTGTGAAGTGTTATGCAAACATCTGTAGGTGAGACTATTTTACATATATGTATCTGCTTACGCAATTTTTACGTAACAGTTTTGTTTCACAATTCTGTTGTGTGCTCAGAGATGTCTAAAACTTTTGAGATGTAGGTAACATTTGTCTTTGCAACAGATATAAAACTCTGCCTAGAATTGGATCATGAAGTATTGAATGATGTAGGTGCTTCACTTAGCGTTGTATGTTTTAACTGGTACATTCCTTACCAAGTTACCACATGCATAGACTGGTTTCTTAAACTGACTTCTTAAAAATACTAAGGTCCGCCTTATGCTCTGATATACAGGCTTGTGTTGGCATTCTGCTCTATTATTGTGTCCTGCAGCGCATTAGTGCTGTAGGAGTGAATGTTCAGTTTAATGTACTGGTTATGTTAATGTTCAGTGGATCCAATTATTTAATTTTCTTGCATTTCAGCAAGTTGCTTTTAATTTGATAAAATAACTCATCACTGTGTACCCCACTTACGCCTTGTTAGCCTACCTAGCTCTTTAATAGTTTTCTCATTATTCATCCTTTATAGTCAGTCATCCTTATTCTCAGGTTTCTTGTCTTCCCTTATTGATTCCACTAATTGTGGTTCCCGCCGTTAACTGTCACCATTAAAAGACAACACAGAGGCGACTGTCTCTAACAATGTGGTTTTAGTCTGTGAGTCTTTTCTGCCTCTGTCTCCTTTCCAATCTATATTTTTGGTTTTTATCATGCTTTTTTCCCTATTGTTGCAATCTTGAATTCCTCTTAAGCAACAGAATGTTGCAAAACTAAGCAAAAAAACCAAACCTGAAAACAAAAGCCACCAATAAAAAACCGAACAAGCAACATACAAAAAAGTGCCACAGTTTCCCTGAATCTTTTGCAAATACTGCAAATCCTTTCTGATGATACTGTTTGTGGACTTTTCTCACTTGGAAAATTTTTTCCTACATGTCAGTAAACTTAGTTGTCTGTTGTTTCAAGAGATTTGTCTCACAAAGCACTTTTTCTTTGGCTCACTTTTGCTTTATCTGATTGGATCTTAATAATGTGATAATTCCCTTCAGGATTCTGCTGGGTGCACTACTATAATAAATGCTACTTTCATGACTTGTTTCCACATTAGAATCTACAGGCCATTTAAAGGTATGCCGAGTACAAGATAGCAAAACTCTTTATAAACAAAAAAACCCCAGATTCTTCATTTTACCACTTCATTTTCACCACTTTCAGTACTGAACCCCCAAATTAGAGTTGGCAAGTAGATCTGTGTTAGGTCTGTTTTGTTCATTCATTGTGATGGAAAGTGCTTCAGGTTGACAGGACTTAAGAGGAGAAGAAACCTCAAGAGAGTCACTTAGAGTACCTTATAATCCAGTCCTTCCTGCAAATTTCTGGCTTGTGGCTATGGGAAATAGAGCTGAAAGAAATAGGAGCTGCCTAAAAAGCAGCTGATGAGTGCAGAAGAAGACTTCTCTGGAGTTCTTATTTTGCAGATCTCTTTTGGCACAATGAGAATGAATAATGTGAATATGCATTGAAACAGTTGTTTAGCTGATTTCCCCTTCTGTAAATTTTTAAAAAATGTTTAATTGATGAGTACTAAATGATGAAGGATTACAAGAGTAACTGTCAAGTGTACAAAGCGCTGTTTGGTCATCTGGGTTTTTTGTCTGTTTTTTTTTCTTCCTGCTGTCAGAATATGAGTGATGCGATGGCAATTCTCCATAAGTTACAGACGGGTCTGGATGTCAATGTGAAGTTTACAGGTGTACGAGTGTTTGAATACACACCTGAATGCATAGTGTTTGATCTTCTTGATATCCCCTTGTACCATGGATGGTTAGTGGACCCTCAGGTAACTTATATTCTGTTGGAATTACTGAAAAAAAAAAGTTATTCTGATTTTATTGAGGGGAGGGGGGATGTTTGAGAATTTTAACTGAGGTCAGGAATAATGATAGTGGTAATGGATTTTTTTAAATCTAGTCAGAAAAATTGGATTTTCTTCAGAGAGGAGTGAATACAGACTGTACATGTTTTAGTGTAATAACTTTGCAGAGACTAGGTTATAGTCAAGCTAACTTTCAAAACCTTCTATGCTGAATTCATGACCGTGTAGATTAGAATTGTTGTTCTGAGGGAGGTAGGAAGTTGCCAGATATGGTGTTCCAGTCATTGTTTCTGAGAGCTTGTTAGAGAACACTTGGAAGGAATACAAGGTTACCTTCCTCTTTTTTTTTTTTAATTCTGATTTACTAGTTGCTGCTTTTGAGAGCTGAGGATGTTAGAACCAGTTAGAGAACTGCATCTTTAACAAACACTTATTTTTAATGATATTATTTAATAAACAGTAAACTGGTACTGTTTCCTTAGGGGGGGAACTGGTGACTTTGCAGTAATCTGCCTTAGATTTTGTTTTTTCTTTTCATGCCTTGTTCATTAAAGCTGCTGTTCTCTTATCCCCTTGAACTTCCTCCCTCACCCAACTGAGCCAACTGATGCCCCATTCTCTTCTCCGTCTGCATTAGCAACAGCTTTTGATGTTTAACTTAAGGATTTTAAATGGGATCTGAGACAGCAAAATGTTTAAGAATCTGGGCTAAAACTTTTTGGCCTAGTACTTTTAGAGGGATAATGTCCTCTCTTTGTTGGAACTCTGTTTTCTTATGAAAAATTGCCATAGGCTTACAGTTGCGTTCTGTTCTTCGCAAAGGTAAGTTCTCTGTTTTGTGTGCTGTTCCTTCCTGCTCCAGGTTGCTGACATAGTAAAAGCGGTTGGTAACTGCAGTTATAATCAGCTAGTGGAGAAGATCATTTCTTGTAAACAGTCAGACAACAGTGAACTGGTTAGTGAAGGTGGGTGACTTTTTTTTTGCTTTATCAAAGTATCTGCCCTATCGAATCTTAGTTACGTGTTTTATATGTGGGTCTCTGTATGTAGAGATACAAGTGTGAAGAGCTGCATTCTGTCTGAACTGTGCTTGTCTTCTAAACTTCTCTGCAATTTCCTAACCAGGGATCAGCCTCATTCTCTTGGTCTATTAAATATACTTTTTTAAAAGCTGGAGAGAACTTCCTTTTATGGAGAGGTATTATGGGCAGCATTCAGATTGCAACTTGGCTATGTATTATCTCCTATAATTAGGATATGAATTATATACTACATCATGACAGGGAAAAAAAATCAGTAATATTAGAAGTGGATATAGCATTTCTGAACATGAGAGGGTTGCCTACAATGCTGAGGTTTTAGAACTTTCAGCTTGTTTTCCTGTTTCTGAATGTGTCCCGTTAGATTTGTGGCAATACAGGGGCAATACAGGAGATAGGATTTTTTCCAAATTACCATTGTAACCAGGTTTTACCTATTAGGAAGTATGTAATAGACACACATAACAGTATGTATTGCTTTTGTAGGATTTGTAGCTGAGCAATTTCTAAATAACACAGCTACACAGTTGACATACCATGGACTGTGTGAGTTGACTTCAGCTGTCCAGGAGGGAGAGCTTTGTGTGTTCTTCAGGAACAACCATTTTAGCACCATGACCAAATACAAGGTATATTCAACATTTTTGTCTTTACTCTTGCGGTTTGCATTCTCATTTCAGAGCAAATCTTGGTTTTCCCCTGTCTTGAAGTAGAAATAAATTCCAGTTTGTTGTTATATGTAAGTACAGTGTATTGGTCTGTAGCAAATGTGACTTGTGAATTAATTGATTACCGTGTGTTAGCTATTAGGATCCATTATTACTTTAAATCTTCTTGTAGCTCTTCCCTTTATGTTCAGTTTGCTCCCTGTGTAAACTCCCTTTGTAGTTATGTATAATGACATACATTTCTTACATGGATTGAATTTACTCATGGTTTATGATTTGCAATGATAATGTTATTTAATTTATTTTAATTTCTTGTTTCTGAGGATAGAAAGCTTTGCTTTACACTTGGGCCGGTAGATGAGTAGCTTCATCACAGTGTTAAAAATACCAAACATTTGGAGAAGTTGAGATGAGCTACAATATTGGTTCCCTTTGTTAGGGAAGAGATTATTTTTTTGAATCTTAAACTGGGGAAGCAAGACAGTGAGCACTGTGAAGGGAGTATTCCAGGATGTGAAAAGCAAGTGGCAACTTGATTAATGCTTTTGGGACTCCTCCTGTGGGATGGAGAATCTGGCATGGCAAGTTGACTGTCATTTATGGAGCATCTTCGTTCTAACACAACTTTGCCTTTCGTAAGATGATAGTGTATTTTTATGTATCTGACTTGGGTAGAAAGGGGCACAGTCAAATTGTCTCCTAAGTTTTAGTAATTCCCATTTTTCCAGTGATAAATGTTAATATTTTGAAATAAACTTTTAATTGACTTGCAATGTCAAATCATCCTTAGTTAGACATTTCTCTCAAACATATGTATGAGGTTTTACCTTTGTATAAAACTCTTGATATTATATTTTTGTTATCTGTTATTTAATAAGACTTTAACTTTGTGTACACTTGCATTTATGAATAATAGTAATAAAAGCAAAAAAAGTGTGTAACATACAAAAACATTCAGGAAAACTGTTTTTGCCATCTACTATATTGTAATGTCATATATCTCGTGTGAATGACAGTAACTTTTCCATTTGGCAGTACTAGTCCTTTTTTTCTCCCCCTGTTAATTTTGATTGTCAGTGCTTATCTTTGACATTTTGAGTAACTACTCAGCTAAAACTCTGAATAGTCCTGATAAATGATGATTCACTCTACAAACAGGTAACACAATTGGTTTCCTAATAGCTTCTTAGAGCACATCTAACATTTGTTTTCAATCTATGTACAATGATATTCTCTTAAAGCAGTAGGACAGGTAAAAGGATCTTCCCTTCTCCATTTAAAAACAAATAAACAAAAATGTATTTGTGAATGGTCAAAACTATAACTGTTGTATTTCCTGATTTATGTCACAATTTTAAGAAGTATAGTTTTGCTTCTCTCCATTTTCCTAAATTTAGCTCTTCCAATATTTGGTAGTAGTTTGTCATATAAGCCCATACATTGTTTTATGGTTGCTTTCGTTATGGGGGTGGGGACATGGACAAATGGGTGATGGACCATCTCAAAGCAATTTGGTTTTAAAAAGAAAATACTAAGTAGAAATACAGATGTACTTTCTGGGTACAAACGGTACCTAAAGGTGCAGAAAACCTTTAACCTTTTTTACTTTGAAGGATATTCCAGATAAAATACTTAAATCCTCCTGGAAATAATTTATTTTTGTCTATTAAAACTTCTAAAAAATAAGACATTCTTTGTATTAAATACAGTCAACGAGTATCACTTTGAACTTGTGAGTTATGACTACAGAATTTGTAGAATGTAGACTGTCTTCTGCGGCCCAGTATTTAAAGGCCAAAACTTGGTGTGCGTTTGTCAGCACTTTATCAGCTTCCTACTTGTAGGCATCTACTTCTAAGTTGAGACCATTTTCCTTAAAGAAATAAAATGCAACACTTCAATGAGTTAAATATCCTTAACCAATATTAATAATACAGAACAGGTTAAGGCAGTGAGTAAAAACCTGTGTTTGAATTTTGACTGTAAGAACTAAATCCAAGTGCTATGAAATACTGAGTTAAAATACTTGAAGGATAGTATTATTTGTTAGTTGTGTATTTAAGCTTTACTGCTTCTAATTCACTATGGTTTTAATCTTGTCCTTGTCTTAGACTTCTGAAATGCTAAGTTTTGGCATATGGGCCATTATTCTTGTGTTTCATAGTCATTATGGTTACCTCACTTGCAGCTAGTGTTCAGTTTCCATGTTCCCTACAGGCTTTTAGTTCCTGCGGTTGTCACTTTTAAACAGTGTTGTTCGTTTTGCCTTGGATTTGTCGTGAGTGGTACGTTACAGAATTTGAGATATCAAGAAACATTTTTAATAAAGAAAGAATATCTTTATTTTTAAAAGTCAGCCATAACCATTCTGTCTGTTTCTAAACTACCTAGCTATTTGCAGTAGCTATATAAGTAGGCATTCTTTCACAGAATCATAGAATTGTTTTGGTTGGAAAAGACCTTTAAGATCATCAGGTCCAATCATTGTCCTAACACTACCAAGCCCACCACTAAACCATGTCCCACATCTGCATGACTTTTGAACACCTCCAGGGATGGCGCCTCCACCCCCTCCCTGGCCAGCCTGTTCCAATGTCTGACCACTCTTTCAGTACAGAAATTTTTCCTAATACCCAATCTACATCTCCCCTGGCACAACTTGAGGCCACTACTTCTTGTCTTGTCATTAGTTACTTGGGAGAAGAGACCAACACCGGCCTCACTACAACTTGGTACTTGTAGAAAGCAATAAGGTCTCCTCTCAGCC